CCATTTGCAATCAAATTAAATATCAGTTTTCCAGCAAATCTACCAAATCCCCATGATGGAAAATGTTAAAATCCTCACCCCAGGGCTAAAAAATATCGGCAATAGCCCCCTCCCCGTGATTAGGAAAAGCTGCAAAGTCCCAGGGGTGGGAACTGCTGGAATTAATTGATTACATTAGATTATCCAAGCTAATTTAAAATGACAATAACGGCGAACTTTTCCACCAATATCTCAAAACTAAATATTCCAATTTTCATCGAATGGCCAGGAATTACATATATTAAATAATAATAACTGTTATTGACTGCAGCAAAGGCAGTCATTAACCTGGCCAACAGTAGTTAAAGTACAATTACAAGTGCGGAATATTACAAGTACGGAATAAACAACAATTTGGCATTACCTTAAAAACAAAGCTATTTATTTCTGACCAATGGGAATTTTGCGTACGAATCATGTGCATCAATCCTTTTTACTGACCTCAGTAGCAGGCTTTATTTCAAGCATACAGCGGCTGAGCCTGACATTGTGTTTATACAACCTTGCAAATTTACTAGTAGGAATTTCCATTGTGTTTGCAGCCCTTACACTTTGTGTTTCATTATGGCATCTTGACCTTGAAAGAGTCTATTACTGTGGCTCCAACATTTTCCCGTTCGGCATTAGAAACACAATACACTGATCATAAAATGACTGAAATATTACAGATTTAAAAGCCTGACACCTAGCGGCAAAGTTTAAGAGGCAGTCCGTGTAAAAACCGACCACTCGAATTTCTTAAGATTACAGATTTCCTTCAAACTTTCTGTGTGGAAGAAGTCATTCATAAAATGAACAAAAAACGTTGACTTGGAAATTGTAGTCAGTTTTAAAAATTTTTTCGCAATTATTTTCGGACGCGTTCGAAAACAAGTTAAAACGTTAATTACGCAAGTGATATTTGAGCTTTTTTATATCTCACAGTTCATCTCACGCTTTTATTCTAACTTCTTGAAACTTACATATTTTATTATTGCCTGCCTAGGCATAAACCTAAACTAAAAATTATCCTGATCACTTGAAGCAAACAAAATATTGTGTATTTTTAAAAACGTCTTTCAAACAGCGGATTAAATATTTGTGTTAGTATGCTGGCGGTAAATTATTTTTTCTCAAAAGTGCAACGGTATCAAGTATCCAATCTATTGCAGCTACTGAGTATTATTACACATCTACTAGAATAAATAATAAAATCTTTGGGCAGTGTGTTTTTCACTTGACAAGCGCGTCATGAATATAGTTAATTTTCGCTAATTCGACTAATTATAAGCTATAATTTGTTAATGCATTTACTTAAATTTTTCGCGTTAAAAACATACAAAATTGTTCACTATCTTTCAAATATGGCTGTTTTTTGGATAGAGACTAAGTTACAAATATGCCAGATTTATGCTAGCTTTATAACATAGAGCAAAAGTCCTGACGCATGTGCCGACTGAAATTGACAATCACGCGTTGCCAATTTTATCTTTTTATTATTTATCAGTGAAGATCCGGGCTTACGGATCGAAAGCTTTGCAGTAATAAATTTACGTGGTGTTTCCACAAACAAAAACAATTATATTTTATCGCCATGCAAACATTCAAAGAACTTAATACTGATCTTGGTAACTAAAACTATATGCACCGATTTCCTCCGAATGTACACATCTATCACAGGAGAATATTAGAAGAAAGTATATTATACAATTTATTAGAGAGTAATGTTTTTCGTGTGAAAAGCGGTTCTGTCATATGTAATCCCCGTCATCGCTTGAAGTCGGTCAACGCGTAATTTCAAGTGTTTCTTCGCTTTCTTAACAGTATATTTATATCGTAAAATCATTACAATTTTAACTCGTTGAAGTTGGGGGGGGGGCAAAATCCCCCAAAGAAAAGTCAAGAAAGGGCCCAAATATTTTCGGGCAATATAGACCACAGCTCCTCCAATAGATATATGAATCCTGTACGCCTATGAGTATACTACTGTACATTTATATTGCACTCATGTGCATAGAGAGACATGGTACGAAATTAGAATCTATAAACAATCAACTTTAATACATGCATGGTTGGGTATACAAAAACGTTTTGCCGTAAAAAACGAATTTCTTTCTTGTTGCTTTGAGCTATTAGGCTATATTAAAACCGACGAAACATGTAGGCTAGTAAGCGTATATATTAAGTGAAAGTGAAACTTATTCTCAAACAAATAAATGAACCAAGACTGCATGTCGTAATCTCTCTGAAAGGGCGAAGCAGTAACTAAAGGGTGTATATATAGAGGCATCTAACGGCAAGTGATTTAACGATCACACGGAGGGGTTATTAGAGACCTTACGATTTTAGGACGACAACGCAACGACGACGGCCAAAACAAACTCCCTCAAATAAATGGTAGTATTAAGCCCACTATTTGTTGTATATTAGTTTCTCATCCGGAGTTTCTCATCCGGAGCTTCTCCTAAAGTGGATGCGTGCTGGCGGGACAATACCATTATGCCATTATTTGCTGGATTTCCCCTCCCCATAAAATTTATTTTGGAGAAGTGCGCATTAAGCATTTATATAGCAACTTTCTGGAAAACAGCACAAAATCAGTAAGTGCAACTGAAAGCATGTTTTCATAATTTTGTACCCAGAACGTCTGGCGTTTTTCTCCCCTGCCCCTGGCTTCCGGTAGAACTTTTATAGCTGAGTTTGGATATTTAATAAGTGTACGTAATGCGGGAAAAACTTGCAGTTTGGTTATGAAATTTTGTATTTTAACTAACATTTGGTTTGGGAACGTTTCTAATTGTCTTTCTTTCAAATTTCACTTTGAAGACATCACAAAATTTATAATAATGGTCAAAAATGGCAATAATAATGGCGAACAAGGCCATTTTCTTAAAAAGCATGCAGGCGGGGATGAGAAACTAATATACAGCAAATAGTGGCCTAAAGACAATTCATGGTATATCAGCAATCGTATGAATTTAATACAATCATATGAATTTAATGGGTTTTATGTTTCGGAAGAGTTCTGCTGAAGCCAGTTTGAAGTTGCACTTGTTGCGGCTTGAAATGCAGCCGTTGTATCAAGATGTGAAAATCTGTAATTAGTGGCGTAAAGTCTGTAAACAAAGCGAGGACAATGTCTAAATTATTCATATATTGCAATTATTGAATTATTTTTAATTATTTATTGTATTTGTAGCCGTTGCTGTCCTAAATCGTATAAAGGTGTCTATTTAAAAATCGGGGAACCATGCAAGGTAAGCATGGTTAAAAATTTTTCGAGTATGGGGACGTATGCATGCACATGCATGGTTTACGCTACTCATACGTTTCTCTCATACGCAATAGTGTGACAGGACCTTAACCGAGATCAGCATGTAATTGCAGTTCTTAAAAAACATGAAAATATTAAACATGTATAAAATATTTGTTTCATTTTATAGTGGCAAAATAAATCTGCACTATGTCTATGATGAGAAAAAAGTGCTCCTTCAAGGCATTCCTATAAATTGGCACACATATATCCTTTCCCGCACTTTTCTTATACATTTTTGTTTATATATACCATGCATATAGTATTTAATGATACTCATAAACGTAAAATTTCAAGCATATATAATTGCTGGCATATTTATAACTTACTCTCTATCCAAAAAACAGCCATATTTGAAACAGTAAACAGTTTTGTATGTTTTTAACGCGAAAAATTTAAGTAAATACAAAAAGAAATTATAGCTTATAATTAGAGGAATTAGCGAAAATTGACTATATTCATGACGCGCTTGTCAGGCGAAAAACACACTGCCCAAAGATTTTATTATTTATTGTAGTAGATGTGTCATAATACTCAGTAGCTGCAATAGATTGGATACCTGATACCGTTGCACTTTTGAGAAAAAACAATTTACCGCCAGCATACTAACACGAATATTTAATCCGCTGTCTGAAAGACGTTTTTAAAAATACACAATATTTTGTTTGCTTCAAGTGATCAGGATAATTTTTAGTTTAGGTTTATGCCTAGGCAGGAAATAATAAAATATGTAAGTTTCAAGAAGTTAGAATAAAAGCGCGAGACGAACTGTGAGATATAAAAAAGCTCAAATATCACTTGCGTAATTAACGTTTTAACTTGTTTTCGAACGCGTCCGAAAATAATTGCGAAAAAATTGTTTAAACTGACTACAATTTCAAAGTCAACGTTTTTTGTTCATTTTATGAATGACTTCTTCCACACAGAAAGTTTGAAGGAAATCTGTAATCTTAAGAAATTCGAGTGGTCGGTTTTTACACGGACTGCCTCTTAAATTCTCAATGAACATGTTTTTTTTCGCTGTTGTTTCGGTATTAATTCTTAATTTAAAACTTGTATTTAAACTAATTTCTATGTAATAAATGTATTTTGCTAACCTGTCAAATTTTTTTGAGAGTTTTTCCTTGTACTATTATCTTTCTCAAAGCGAATATTTTCCTTTTTTCTGCTTCGCAAAACTCATCTAGTTTTTGGACCGCCATCGACCGGCGAGCAATTCAACCAATCAGATTGCAGAATAGCTCATATACATTATATGTATATATACATTATATGTATATATACATTATATGTACATATATATATATATATATATATATATATATATATATATATATATATATATATATATATATATATATATATATATATATATATATATATATATATATATATATATGTTGAGATAAGTACTTTTAGTGTTTAAAGTTTAAACTATATTTATATGGTTGATATTATTTAGCATAAATTAGCATAAAGTACCGTAATACAGTTAATATATACAGTACATCGGACACGTGACTATACGTTCGTTGAACGTTATTTTGATCCGCCATTATCGGTGTAGTTGTTGTTTTCAAGCGGGAAAACTATATTTTGTGAACCTTTTAGTTTCTTTTACAACAATAAATTACATAATCTAACAGGTTATGGGCCCAGGATCGTGGTAATGGATAGCCAAACGATAAAATGGCTAGTTTTTAACGGAAAAGCTGAAAACTACCCAGCATGGAGCACGAAGTTCACCGCGTATATGCAAACGAAAGGTTTATACAAAGCGCTTCTCGGGAAAGAAGTCGCACCGGAAGAGATAGCACCGCTAGCAGGGGATGCTTCAGACGAGCAGAAGGCCGAATGGGAGGCAAAAGTTCAACAAAGAAATAAACAAATCGAAGAAATTAAAGAAAGAAATAATACGGTATGGTGTCATATTGTTTTAGCCCTCGACAATAATAGTCTTTTATATATAAGACATGATTGCCTGTCATCAGATGGTGTTGGGGACGGGGCAAAGGCGTGGCGTTTGCTACAACAGAGATATTCCAACGTGGAAAAGCCAACTGTAGTAAGTCTAGTTCGTCAAATTTCTCGATTACAGTTAAATGAAAATGAAAAATTATCCGAATATTTTATACGAGCGCAAGAATTAATGTTTCGATTAACCGAAGCTGGTGAAAAGATATCAGAAACACTATTCAATGCCTTAGTTATAAACGGACTTCCAGAGAAATATGAGCACTTCATCGTACAGGAAAGTTTTAATCCTGCAGCAAATTTCACCGAATTACGAACACGTTTACAAAATTATGATGATAGTCGACTCCAAAGAAATCAAGCAAAAGAAGATAGTGCAACAGCTATGTATTCTGGAAATACGTCAGAAAGAAACAAAGGCCCAAGCAAGCCGAAGGGAGATTGTTTTGTATGCGGAAACCCTGGACATTTCGCCAAGCAATGTAGTAAAAGAAGTTCAGCTTACTGCTCAAAGTGCAAGAAAAATGGACATTTACCAAAAGCATGCAGAGGTTCAAGTAAACCTGATAAATCCACAAAAGAACCCAACTCATTTGCATCATATTCTCAATGTATGAACAGTGGTACTGAAACAAGCAGTGGTACTGAAACAAGCAGTGGTACTGGCAAACCAAACCATCTCATTATCGATACTGGTTGTACTGATCACATCATTAGCCAAAAGGAACTGTTTGAAAACTTACAACCTTGCAGCATCAAAAATGTTAAAGATCCAAAGGGAAATTTTACTCCTGTTGAAGGAATTGGTGATGTACCAGTAAAGCTTCATCTGAAAAATGGAAAAGAGGAAGAAATGGTTCTACGAAACGTACTTTATGTGCCAAACTATGAAGTGAACCTGCTTTCTGTCAATCGATCCGTCAGATTTGGACACAAATTCGTATTTAATAAAAGTGAAGCAAAGTTAAGATTAAATCATGGTCCACAAGTCGATCTCACTGAAGACTGTGGTTTATTTTATCTGATGATTACCTTTCAAAGGTCCAGTGCATGTCATTCTACCACTTACAACACAAGTAAAGCAGCAATCAAAGGAGGTATTAATCTGTGGCACCAAAGGCTCGGACACTTAAACAAGGATGACGTCAAACGCACCATTGGCTGTGAAGATAATTTGAAGG